ATATGAACTCATCGCTAACAAATTTTTTTGATTTGTAAAATTGTGTTATGAATGAACGAAGAAATGAAGAAACTTATATAAAACGGATTTCCGTCGGAATTCCGTCGAAAATCCGTCACAAAACTCCGACATAACACTCCACCAATCCCATCGGCCACCGCTAACGAAATGGTAACCACTCAAATTTGCCGACATCGAAAAAATCGGATTTCCGTCGGGAGTCCGTCGGAAAGTCGTCAGAATATTACGACAGATTATTTTCCGTCGGAAATCCGTCGTTTGTACCGACGGATTTCCGACGGAATACCGACGGTAAATAAAACCGTTGGTATTCCGTCGGAATTTTGCGACGGATTTTTGACGGACTAAATGTTAGTCGCAAATGCGTCGGTAAGCCGTCGGAAAATTCCGACGGAAATCTTTACCGTCAGAAATTTGCCTGTTTTCTTGTAGTGTTACAACCAAGTAATTAATGACTTAGGGTTTTTTATATCCATATAACCAAACATGTGATTTTAACACTTTGACATTAATTCTCGTAAATATTTAATAACCAATCGAGTTGAAAAAAAAAATAGAAGTAACAAAATCGTAACTCTTTGCTCTAGATTACGACAATAAAATTTAGAAGTAACAAAAGTCTTCATCCCTGGGACGAGTCAAGCTACAATTTTAAAAGAAACGGAGGATCTTTTACGAGTATTGGATAATCCGAATAACTTTGTCCATAGATGAATCTAAGGAATTTTTGTCTATATATGAATCTAAGGAATTTTCTTTCAAAAATATATATATTTTCGACAGAGATTCCATATTGAAAACTAGTATGCAGTTATGATATAATGCGTTTTTGGCACATTTTAACATTTGTTTTGTAGGTTTTTATCTAATCTTTTGTTTTACTTTGAGTCATTTTAGATAAAAAAAAAAAGGCTGGAATGGAGGATTAGAACTCACAATGAGATTTGACGAAAAAAGAGAGAAATTGGATCTTTTTGAAGATTCTGAAGAAAAGGAGCACCCACTCCCGATAGCTAGACCTGCTCCGCAGAAGATCGAGTTTTGAAAATTTTCATTAAACTTTTTTTGCCACCTAGGGTTTCCCTAATCGATCATAGCCGCCCTAGACCCTTATTTAAAGATATTTTCGATCCCTTTTCAAGGAGGCAAAAAATAAT